AAGGGAAGTTCGGAAAACGCTGTTGCATCCACAATTTAAAATACATATTCAAATACAAATACATATTCTATACAAAATCCACCGAAAATCGTATAGACCAGATAACTATTGCAGCCAATTATAGGGATTCCAGCTAAACGGCAACATCCTTCGCTATTAGCTTTTTCTGTAAGCCACACGACACTATTTTTATAGTCTGGACATACCTTTTAAACTTTTAATATTGCTTTTACATTATTATTTTTAATTTTAAATGCAACATATATTTTAATGCAGCAGATGAAATACAGATACAGAATACAGGTCTCAAACACAGTTTGACTAACAATAATGGTTGTTATTAATAATACAATTTTTCAAAGTTTTAAGTTTTAAGGATCGGAATTTGTTAGAAAATGAATGTAGGAAAGGCATAAGCGGTAGTGTTCCTAATATGTACAAATAATCGAGTAGATGAACGCAGAGTTGATCAGGGAGAGCAGAAAAATCGATTAGTCGATAGAGTAGAGTTCTGGTTACGAGAGGAAGAGGAGAGAGAAGAACAAAAATCAGAAATTGTGAAATCATAAGTTAAATACCCTTACATATCTAAATATACCAAAAAAGACAAGTGTAAAGATAATTACTAGCAGCATATCATCGCAGCGAGGGAAGATTGTTTATAAATAAGGTTGACTTTATTCATTTATTTGTGGTAAAAGTGGATGTGTGCAACACAGAGAAGGAAACCTTTCCTACCCCATAAAGTATATATTCTTTATCAGCATCAATAGCCGAGTCGATATGTCTATCTGTTCGTCCGTCCGTCTTAATGAGCGCCTAGTTCTCAGAGACTATAGGAGCTAGAGAAAAAAAATTTTGTTTCTAGACTCATGTAATATCACACTGTTACAAGTGTAATTCAAAATTTCGCCCGCCCCACAAAGGAGGAAATTCTTTGGCAGCCACAACTTTGAAGATACCATAAAGTAAAAACGTAGTACCGTAGAGAATGACCAAATCTACCAGATTGTCGAATCTGAATGAGATGGAATCATTATTATAGCCAGAATAAAGAAATTCATTTTCAGTCTCTTCCCCCACCTCTTCCTGCGCTGTTGACGCTACTCATTGCGGAGAAGATGTTGAATCTACATACATTGTGTATGTAGAATCTACATTTCAGATGTGGAATCGATATTATAGATGTACATGTATATAGCAGATTTAGCAAGAAAAAATTGTTAAAATGTAAAATATTTGAAAATTCTACATAAATCATAAGCTCACAAATTTATATACTGACTGAGTACGGGTATAAAAATAGAGACGCGTCCACAGAAGCGACTCACACGCTCCTTCCCTTTTTTACCTGCCAAAATAGAAGACACAGTGATTTGGGGGTTTCTAGCTTTTTCTGCACCTTTCTGCACCATCCCGCATGACCCGCTGGGGTAAACAAGTGGGGTCTGACATAGCTTGAGCGAGCGCGTTGAACTGGGTATTGTACACGCAAAATGATTTTTCTGTAGTCTGCACACAAGACTTGTTTAATCTACCTTTAATAGTCTCTGATATATATTTATTTTTTCTCTAATTGGTATTTAATGTACATCCAACAGTCACCAGAATCAAACCATTCATATAAAATCAAATTTCACGAAAAATAACATTAAAAGCATACCAAATTAGATCCCATGTATAGTATTTGGCGCGATCAGTTCACCGGTTCATAGAATCATCGAACTATGTATATGGCGTACGTATTTCTGGCCTTAGTGTTCCTTAAGGGCGCAACGCCAGATTGTTGCCATCCAATTGTCGGAGTTATCTTACAAAGCCGCTGCCAGGAATTCAAACCCCCAAGAGGTGCATATTGCGGGAAGGGCGAACGCAATATTTTTGAATGCAACTGTGATGGTGGGTGCAGAGAGTTGGAAAGTTGAATGCTTTCCTGATCATCAGCATAAATACAATTGGAACGCACTTTCTATTGAAAACCCTCGTCAACGGATTCATTAATTGGCTTTCAATTCATTTGTTTCATTAAATTTTTGCAAGTGAACCTTAGAAAAACGGTCCAACTGGTCAACTTAAAGAGTTGGGATTCGAAATGTGAAATTTAAGTTCATGGTTAGCACCTTCGCTGCTGACTGGCTGGTGTCCAATGTCTAGCTCAGCGCTCAGCATTTATTCCTTTCCGCGTGTTAGCTTATATAATAAGCGTAGTGTTTTCGGGACTTGCTCTCTCACTTTTCGTATCAGAACTTAATCATATTAAATCGAATTTAACTGAAAAATATATTAGTAGCATAACAAATAAGATCTTCTCCACAAATAACAGCTCGATCGATAAGTCCAAAAATTAAATTGGGGAGTCAATTACACTACTCGACAAAATTGAACTTTATATTTAGGCTGTGAATCAAAATGACTTTTTCTGATAGATTTAGGGATTTAAAAATTTTTGTAGTACTTAATTATTTTTTTATGGTGTAATTTTTTTGTTAAGAATTTTTAAAATCTGTTATTTTTTTCATGGTTTTTTTCAGAGGTTGTGCTTCTATTTTTCACATAACTTAAGTATCTTATATTTGGTTGCATAGAACTTTGCAGTTCTGAAAAGCTGACAAACGCAGCTATAAATCCGACCCAGACCTTTTGTATCTGCAGCTTAACGTCTGGAAGATATTAAGCTTTCAAATTCAAATTTCATCATTTTTTGCGTTATTTTTTGGAGCTTAAATTCGTTAACCGTTAGGAAGGTTGCGGGCCCAACTGCCAATTGGAAACACAGAAAACGAAAATGGGTTGAATTTTGGGTAAAAAGTATTTTTTGTCTATTTTTTCAATTTTAAGGTTTGGTTAACGAATTTTAGCTCCACCGTTTATCCATAGATTTTAATGAACAATACCTTAAACGACGCCTAATTAATGTGTCTATCTAAAACTAAAAATGTTGGCCAAGAATTATTTGTCTTTCGACTTTTCCCGAGTTTCCCGAAGTAAAAATTTTTGGAAAAATACCGCAAAAAAATGATGAAATTTAAATTTGAAAGCTTAATATCTTCCAGGCGTTAAGCTGCAGATACAAAATGTCTGGGTCGGATTTATAGCTGCGTTTGTCAGCTTTTTAGAACTGCAATGTTCTATGCAACCAGATATAGAATATTTAAGTTATGTGAAAAATAGAAGCACTACCTCTGAAAAAAAAACTACAACAAAATACGAGATTTTAAAAAATTTTATAAAAAAAAACTACACCATAAAAAAAAACCATAATTCGTTAAAAACTCAAACCTCGAAATCTATAAGAATCTTAATTTTGGGCCACAGCCTAATTCTAGTGTTGACTAGTGTTATCGACGGTTAACAGAAACACTGAACTATGTACATGGCGTACGTATTTTTGCTTTAGTGTTCCTTAAATGCGCAACGGCAATATGCTGCTATGGATTTGTCGGACTTAACTTAGTAATGCGTTGCGACGACGGAAGACCATTGTATGGTTCATATTGCGGGAAGGGCGGCTGCAATATGTTTGGATGCAACTGCTATGACAGATGTAGAGGTCACTAAATTCCAACTTTCATCAGCTGTACATTACATTTTTCTAGCTAATCTAAAATTTAGATACAATATAGATATTGTATCGACTCTTCCAACGTATACACTAATACTATAATAACCGTAGAAATGTATAAAAGCAGCATAATATAGCCAAAATAAATAAGTTAGTTAGAAGTACTTAACCCGACAATATCTTCTTTTTATACCCGTACTCAAAAAAGAGTTAAGGGGTATATTAGATTTGTGGTAAAAGTGGATGTGTGTAACGCAGAGAAGGAAACGTTTCCGACCCCATAAAGTATATATATTCTTGATCAGCATCAAGAGCCGAGTCGATATAGCCATGTCTGTCTGTCCGTCTGTCCGTCTGTCTGTCTGTCCGTCTGTCCGTCTGTCTGTCTGTCCGTCTGTCTGTCTGTCCGTCTTGTTGAGCGCCTAGATCTCAGAGACTATAAGAGCTAGGGCAACCAAATTTGGTTTTCAGACTCATGTGTTCCCTGCTCGTGTATTCTCGCCCGCCCCCCGCCCCCCAGGACGAAAACTGGGGGCGCGCGTGGATGACCAACACCAGCGCCAACGAACAGACGGACAAAGCCAGAATGGAAGTTGCTCCCGCCCACCGCCCAACCCCATTTCCTTCTCGCTCGCACACTCTGCCGCGTTCAGTGCGCGAGCAACCCCTAGCGGAGGAGATGTAGAATATGAATGGAACATGTACAATCTACATGTTAGATGTAGAATAGACATTTTATATGAAGATGTAGATAGCAAATGTAGCAAAAAAATGTAAAATGTTAAATGTTTTTTTTTTTGTCTAAAATTCTAAAAAATCATAAGCTCAAAAATGTATATACTGACTGAGTACGGGTATAAGTAGAGTCGTGTCCCCAAAAACGACTCACACGTTCCTTCTCGTTTTTATTGGAAAAGAACAGTATAAGAGAGTCCAAACTTTTCAAAGATGTTCTCTTTGTTGCACCGATCATCTGCGCACAAAAACTGAATCGCTCACTTTATGTAACTCCCTCGTCGACATTTGCCGCAAATTCATTTGTTTTATATATCGTTTGCAATTTTCCAGACACGGTGGATAAATTCTCGCCGAACACGTGATCCACGTAAGAACGGCCCAACTGGTTTTAAGTTAAGTTAATGAATGTAAATAAGGTACTATCAATTTTTTGGACGTGAAATTTAACAACGTCAATTTTAACTGTTTCTTAAAAATGTAGACATGGGATTATTGAATAAATTCGAGTCATGTGTGCGCTACATCTTCATCTGCACTTAAAGATGGGAACTTAACTGGACTACTAACGGGACTGTAGCTAAGCATCGGATATCGGTCCTCGTTGAACACCGTAGCTGCTTGTATCCAATATGTCAATGCGCTCATCATTTGTTCCGTTCCGCATATTAACTTATATAATACGGGTAGTGTTTCTCGAGTTTTCGCTCTCTGACTTTTCGTGAATTATTGTCTAAACAGTCACACAACCGGTTAACAGAAACATTGAGCTATGTGCATGGCGTACGTATTTTTGGCTTTACTGTTCCTTAAAGGCTCAGCAGCAGTATGCTGCCATGGAATTCTCGGACTGAACTTAGCAGTCCAGTGCAACGACGGAAAATCAGCGTATCGTTTATATTGCGGGAGGGGCAGTTGCAATTTATTTGGATGTAACTGCTATGGAGGATGTAGAGGAGACCCCTATCCAACCGACTATCCACGTGACCATCCACGCGACTATCCACGTGACCATCCACGCGATGATCCACGCGATGATCCACGCTTGTATCCACGCTTGTATCCATTTGATGATCCACCACTGTATCCACGCGATGATCCTCTCGGGTATCAACACAACTATCCACGCGATGATCGAGGCGATAATCCACGCGAGTATCCACTCGATGCTCGACCCGATAATCCACGCGAGTATCCAGGCGATGATCCACGCGAGTATGAACACAAATATCAACGCGAATATCCACGCGACTACGTATAAGTTTCAACTACTTGCATCAGCTGTACATTACATTTTCGTAGCCAATTTGCGCAGATATTGTGTCATCTCTTCCCACAAATACTAAAATAGCGGTAGAAATGTATAAATGCAGCACAATATAGCAAAAATAAATAAGTTGTTTAATAGTCTTCAACCCGATCGTATCTTTGTTTATTAGAAAACAGCAGAATAAGAGAGTCCAAACCCTCCAAACCCAAAATCCCTGCCCTTTGTTTCCCCGATCATCTGCGCAAATAAAACTGAAACGCTCGATTTTTTTTTAAAGTTGATTTGGTATTTTTTATGTTAAAATTATATTGTGTTTATAGATTGCCCTTTTTTTAAATATTTAAAACGCCATAACCTGTAAGGGGCATATTAGATCTGTTGTGAAATTGGATGTGTGCAGCGCAGAGAAGGAAACGTTACCGACTCCATAAAGTATATATATTCTTGATCAGCATCAATAGCCGAGTCGATATAACCATGTATCCGTCCGTCTGTCCGTTCGTTCGTGCCTTGATTTTTGGCTTTAATGTTCCTTTAAGGCACAGCGCCAAAATGCTGCCATGGAATTCTCGTACTGAACTTAGTAACAATGTAACGACGGAAAATCAATGTATGGTTTATATTGTGGGAGGGGTCGCTGCAATTTATTTGGTTGCAACTGCTATGACGGATGTAGAGGTCACAAAATTCCAAATTGCATCAGCTGTACATTATATTTTTTAGTTGATCCAGGCAGATATTGTGTCAACTCTTCCTACGTATAGTAGGATTTTATCTGATAGACTTTGGGCTCCAAAATTGTAGAAATAAAAATATTTTTTATTTTTATTTTATATTTATATATATATTATATATATATATATATTTATATATAAATATATATAAATATAATAATTAATTTTTTTAATATATATATTTATATTTTTATTTCTAAGCGTTTTAATGTGTTTATATTTTAATGTTTTTTCAGCTTTTGCTTTCGCAAGAGCAGTCCAGTTGTTCTTCCAAAGCATTGCCCAAGCATCCCAGCATGTCAATCACAAATCAGCTGGCGATGGAAGGAGATGCCAAGACAGCTAGGTACTCGATTGCATACAAATTACAAATGCAAGTCACATTTGATTGAAAACAATTTAAAATGATATCGTCATTGACAAGGACCTTACTTCGCTTTGCCTCTTTGCTTGGCTTGGCGGGAATGCGTCTCTTTGCTGCTCCCGCTCCCGCTTATCTTCCCTTTACCAATACCAAAGTGGCTCTATTTTATTTTCAATGCCATCACCTGAGCAATCCTGCCGTGCACCACGCCCCACGCACTGAATCAGCTAGCTCCAACTCTAAGGCTCATACACATCCAATCCACAAGGGCGTGTGCAAGGTTTATTGCTTCTACGTGCAGAATGTTTTTCTTTGGCGATCTAGTTCAGATTCGGCAATCTGGTAGATATGGGCATTCTCTACGATACTGCGTTTTTAGTTGTATCGTATCTTTAAAAATGTGCCTGCCACAGATTTTCGTTCTTTGTGTAGGCGGAAAGGGGGCGGGGTGAGCTTTTGTAATACACTTGTAGCAGTGTGATATCACATGAGTCTGGAAACCAAATTTGGTTTCTCTAGCTCTTATAGTCTCTCAGATCTAGGCGCTCATCAAGACGGACAGACAGACATGGCTATATCGACTCGGCTATTGATGCTGATCAAGAATATATATACTTTATGGGGTCGGAAACGTTTCCTTCTCTGCGTTGCACACATCCACTTTTACCACAAATCTAATACATATACCCCTTAACTCTTTTTTGAGTATCTTCCAGACTGCTGAATCTGAATCAGATCGGATCATAATTATAGCCAGAATGACGAAAAGATGTCTTTGTTACACCGATCATCTGCGCACAAAAACTGAATCGCTCACTTTATGTAACTCCCTCGTCGACATTTGCCGCAAATTCATTTGTTTTATATATCGTTTGCAATTTTCCAGACACGGTGGATAAATTCTCGCCGAACACGTGATCCACGTAAGAACGGTCCAACTGGTTTTAAGTTAAGTTAATGAATGTAAATAAGGTACTATCAATTTTTTGGACGTGAAATTTAACAACGTAAATTTTAACTGTTTCTTAAAAATGTAGACATGGGATTATTGAATAAATTCGAGTCATGTGTGCGCTACATCTTCATCTGCACTTAAAGATGGAAACTTAACTGGACTACTAACGGGACTGTAGCTAAGCATCGGATATCGGTCCTCGTTGAACACCGTAGCTGCTTGTGTCCAATATGTCAATGCGCTCATCATTTGTTCCGTTCCGCATATTAACTTATATAATACGGGTAGTGTTTCTCGAGTTTTCGCTCTCTGACTTTTCGTGAATTATTGTCTAAACAGTCACACAACCGGTTAACAGAAACATTGAACTATGTGCATGGCGAACGTATTTTTGGCTTTACTGTTCCTTAAAGGCTCAGCAGCAGTATGCTGCCATGGAATTCGCGGACTGAACTTAGCAGTCCAGTGCAACGACGGAAAAGCAGCGTATCGTTTATATTGCGGGAGGGGCAGTTGCAATTTATTTGGATGTAACTGCTATGGAGGATGTAGAGGAGACCCCTATCCAACCGACTATCCACGTGACCATCCACGCGACTATCCACGTGACCATCCACGGGATGATCCACGCGATGATCCACGCGATGATCGACGCGATAATCCACGCGAGTATCCACTCGAATATCGACGCGAATATCCACGCGACTACGTATAAGTTTCAACTACTTGCATCAGCTGTACATTACATTTTCGTAGCCAATTTGCGCAGATATTGTGTCATCTCTTCCCACAAATACTAAAATAGCGGTAGAAATGTATAAATGCAGCACAATATAGCAAAAATAAATAAGTTGTTTAATAGTCTTCAACCCGATCGTATCTTTGTTTATTAGAAAACAGCAGAATAAGAGAGTCCAAACCCTCCAAACCCAAAATCCCTGCCCTTTGTTTCCCCGATCATCTGCGCAAATAAAACTGAAACGCTCGATTTTTTTTTAAAGTTGATTTGGTATTTTTTATGTTAAAATTATATTGTGTTTATAGATTGCCCTTTTTTTAAATATTTAAAACGCCATAACCTGTAAGGGGCATATTAGATCTGTTGTGAAATTGGATGTGTGCAGCGCAGAGAAGGAAACGTTACCGACTCCATAAAGTATATATATTCTTGATCAGCATCAATAGCCAAGTCGATATAACCATGTATCCGTCCGTCTGTCCGTTCGTTCGTGCCTTGATTTTTGGCTTTAATGTTCCTTTAAGGCACAGCGCCAAAATGCTGCCATGGAATTCTCGTACTGAACTTAGTAACAATGTAACGACGGAAAATCAATGTATGGTTTATATTGTGGGAGGGGTCGCTGCAATTTATTTGGTTGCAACTGCTATGACGGATGTAGAGGTCACAAAATTCCAAATTGCATCAGCTGTACATTATATTTTTTTAGTTGATCCAGGCAGATATTGTGTCAACTCTTCCTACGTATAGTAGGATTTTATCTGATAGACTTTGGGCTCCAAAATTGTAGAAATAAAAATATTTTTTATATTTTTATTTCTAAGCGTTTTAATGTGTTTATATTTTAATGTTTTTTCAGCTTTTGCTTTCGCAAGAGCAGTCCAGTTGTTCTTCCAAAGCATTGCCCAAGCATCCCAGCATGTCAATCACAAATCAGCTGGCGATGGAAGGAGATGCCAAGACAGCTAGGTACTCGATTGCATACAAATTACAGATGCAAGTCACATTTGATTGAAAACAATTTAAAATGATATCGTCATTGACAAGGACCTTACTTGGCTTTGCCTCTTTGCTTGGCTTGGCTTGGCGGGAATGCGTCTCTTTGCTGCTCCCGCTCCCGCTTATCTTCCCTTTACCAATACCAAATTGGCTCTATTTTATTTTCAATGCCATCACCTGAGCAATCCTGCCGTGCACCACGCCCCACGCCCTGAATCAGCTAGCTCCAACTCTAAGGCTCATACACATCCAATCCACAAAGGCATGTGCAAGGTTTATTGCTTCTACGTGCAGAATGTTTCAGATTCGGCAATCTGGTAGATATGGGCATTCTCTAAGATACTGCGTTTTTAGTTTTATCGTATCTTTAAAAATGTGCCTGCCACAGATTTTCGTTCTTTGTTGGGGCGGAAGGGGGCGGGGCGAAATTTTGAAATACACTTGTAGCAGTGTGATATTACATGAGTCTGGAAACAAAATTTGGTTGCTCTAGCTCTTGTAGTCTTTGAGATCTAGGCGCTCATCAAGACGGAAGGACGGACGGACAGACAGACATGGCTCTATCGACTCGGCTATTGATGCTGATCCAGAATATATATACTTAATGGGGTCGGAAACGTTTCCTTCTCTGCGTTGCACACATCCACTTTTACCACAAATCTAATACATATACCCCTTAACTCTTTTTTGAGTATCTTCCAGACTGCTGAATCTGAATCAGATCGGATCGTAATTATAGCCAGAATGACGAAAAGATGTCTTTGTTACACCGATCATCTGCGCACAAAAACTGAATCGCTCACTTTATGTAACTCCCTCGTCGACATTTGCCGCAAATTCATTTGTTTTATATATCGTTTGCAATTTTCCAGACACGGTGGATAAATTCTCGCCGAACACGTGATCCACGTAAGAACGGTCCAACTGGTTTTAAGTTAAGTTAATGAATGTAAATAAGGTACTATCAATTTTTTGGACGTGAAATTTAACAACGTAAATTTTAACTGTTTCTTAAAAATGTAGACATGGGATTATTGAATAAATTCGAGTCATGTGTGCGCTACATCTTCATCTGCACTTAAAGATGGAAACTTAACTGGACTACTAACGGGACTGTAGCTAAGCATCGGATATCGGTCCTCGTTGAACACCGTAGCTGCTTGTGTCCAATATGTCAATGCGCTCATCATTTGTTCCGTTCCGCATATTAACTTATATAATACGGGTAGTGTTTCTCGAGTTTTCGCTCTCTGACTTTTCGTGAATTATTGTCTAAACAGTCACACAACCGGTTAACAGAAACATTGAACTATGAGCATGGCGAACGTATTTTTGGCTTTACTGTTCCTTAAAGGCTCAGCAGCAGTATGCTGCCATGGAATTCGCGGACTGAACTTAGCAGTCCAGTGCAACGACGGAAAAGCAGCGTATCGTTTATATTGCGGGAGGGGCAGTTGCAATTTATTTGGATGTAACTGCTATGGAGGATGTAGAGGAGACCCCTATCCAACCGACTATCCACGTGACCATCCACGCGATGATCGACGCGATGATCGACGCGATAATCCACGCGAGTATCCACTCGATGCTCGACCCGATAATCCACGCGAGTATCCACTCGATGCTCGACCCGATAATCCACGCGTAATCCACGAGTATCCACGCGAGTATCCACGCGATGATCCACGCGAGTATCAACACAAATATCAACGCGAATATCCACGCGACTACGTATAAGTTTCAACTACTTGCATCAGCTGCACATTACATTTTCGTAGCCAATTTGCGCAGATATAGTGTCATCTCTTTCCACAAATACTAAAATAGCGGTAGAAATGTATAAATGCAGCACAATATAACAAAAATAAATAAGTTGTTTAATAGTCTTCAACCCGATCATATCTTTGTTTATTAGAAAACAGCAGTATAAGAGAGTCCAAACCCTCCAAGCCCAAAATCCCTGCCCTTTGTTTCCCCGATCATCTGCGCAAATAAAACTGAAACGCTCGATTTTTTTTTAAAAGTTGATTTGGTATTTTTTATGCTAAAATTATATTGTGTTTATAGATTGCCCTTTTTTTAAATATTTAAAACGCCATAACCTGTAAGGGGCATATTAGATCTGTTGTGAAATTGGATGTGTGCAGCGCAGAGAAGGAAACGTTACCGACTCCATAAAGTATATATATTCTTGATCAGCATCAATAGCCGAGTCGATATAACCATGTATCCGTCCGTCTGTCCGTTCGTTCGTGCCTTGATTTTTAGCTTTAATGTTCCTTTAAGGCACAGCGCCAAAATGCTGCCATGGAATTCTCGTACTGAACTTAGTAAGAATGTAACGACGGAAAATCAATGTATGGTTTATATTGTGGGAGGGGTCGCTGCAATTTATTTGGTTGCAACTGCTATGACGGATGTAGAGGTCACAAAATTCCAAATTGCATCAGCTGTACATTATATTTTTTTAGTTGATCCAGGCAGATATTGTGTCAACTCTTCCTTCGTATAGTAGGATTTTATCTGATAGACTTTGGGCTCCAAAATTGTAGAAATAAAAATATTTTTTATATTATATTATATTTTAAATATTTTTTATATTTTTATTTCTAAGCGTTTTAATGTGTTTATATTTTAATGTTTTTTCAGCTTTTGCTTTCGCAAGAGCAGTCCAGTTGTTCTTCCAAAGCATTGCCCAAGCATCCCAGCATGTCAATCACAAATCAGCTGGCGATGGAAGGAGATGCGAAGACAGCTAGGTACTCGATTGCATACAAATTACAGATGCAAGTCACATTTGATTGAAAACAATTTAAAATGATATCGTCATTGACAAGGACCTTACTTGGCTTTGCCTCTTTGCTTGGCTTGGCTTGGCGGGAATGCGTCTCTTTGCTGCTCCCGCTCCCGCTTATCTTCCCTTTACCAATACCAAAGTGGCTCTATTTTATTTTCAATGCCATCACCTGAGCAATCCTGCCGTGCACCACGCCCCACGCCCTGAATCAGCTAGCTCCAACTCTAAGGCTCATACACATCCAATCCACAAAGGCATGTGCAAGGTTTATTGCTTCTACGTGCAGAATGTTTTTCTTTGGCGCATAAAAGGTATAAACCAAATTGCTCCAGCTCAATCGGCGATTCGGGAAGTATTTCATTTCATTTGCCTGCTAAGAGCACTCTCTGAGTGCATTGCATTGGCATGCAGTTCCTGTTCGAAGTTCTCTGCTGATTGTTCGAGGACTATCCCCAGTCAAAGCACTTGGCAGCTCCCGAGCACCAAGTCTTGGTCAGCTTCATCACCGTGTGTGTTATGTGTGTGCCCCAATGTTCTAATAATTACCAATATGACCCGTCAAATGACCACACACTCCCCCTGGGCACCAAGCGCACATGAGGATGATAAGTTTCAAGTCCCCATTCCTCCCACGGGAAATTTGTGTCGATGGCACAGGCTGTTTGCCAATCGTTCCCAAGAAACAAGCACGTAAACTGGCTTGAATGCCTGATGTCCTTGATGGTGCCGGTCGCCAGGCAATGCGATTTTGTAAATCAGCCTTAATTATTGCCATTACAGCCGTAAAGACACCGCACAATAAACATGCATATTCAGCTAAAACTTGGGTATCCCTAGGACGGTCCGGAACGGACAATTGTCTATGGTCAATGAGCAACAACAGTAATGATTTTCGTTCCCGCTAAAAGTAAAATATTATTATTGAATTGAAATCACTTTTGACCCCATAAGTATTCAGTTGTGTAGTTATGTAATGTAATTGGTCAGCATCAACAGTAGAGGCTATTTTGCCTCTTAACTTTTCGAGTACGGGTATACAAATTTGGGGGAAAATGAAAGTGCAAGTGCAAGTTGAAGTGCAAAAATTTGGATGTAAATTCTGTCCAAAAATGTGTTAGTGTTTCGCTTTCCTTGCAGTGTTGTCTTTGTAGTTTTTGATTTATATATCTTCGTTTTCAACCAAAATCTATGCATAACATAATTAGTTGGTCTCTTGGAAAAAATTGCTGTCAGGGACCGTTATGGCACACGTCATGATAAAGGTTGTGGACACACTGGTTTTGTTGTAGTTAATGCGTGTATTTTGTTGGTATTTGGTCTGCAATTTGTCATGGGTAAGGCGAATTTTTATTTTAAACCTTAATTTTCATACCAGATCTTTCGACATCGAATGTGTCTTCGGAACCGTGAAAAGCCGATAAAAAGATCCGTGCTTATTTCTCACGACTGCATTGCTTTGAAGGAAAAAGCAGCCAAGAAAGATTCAAAGCTAATAAATATGCAGGTATTTGTTTCTACCCAGAAAAAACGTGGACGGAAGGCAACACTAGCCAAACTATCCACTAAGCGCACCAAGGACTTCAACTAAAGTTTAGATGAAGATAGCACTCTAAACCATCATCTAAACCCACCAAGGCTCTATCTGACGATGATCAGGACTTTTGTATCATCTGTCTGCACCTTCTGCCAAGGAACTTGACCGCCTTAAATGCAATGAATGTAGTCGTGCGGTGCATTTAAAGTGGGCTGATATAGGTGCCAGCTACTTCACATGCAGCATTGCGATTCTGATTACGACGATTACTTCTTATAAATAAACTTTCAGTTTCTCGCTATTTGTGGTGATTTCCTCTCATATTTTTTTTATTTTATGCGGATTTTTCACAGTTGTCCACAACAGGGCATTATTTATTCGTTCTCGAAAAATGGTCACTTCACTAAAATTTTGATACAAGCTTACTGTGTGAAGGAATCAATTTAGTTCCTTCAATGAAAGTTACCTAATACCGATAGCTTTATATTGGTACACATATGTTTGTATAATATGCAATTAGTCAAAAGTTATGAGGCAAGAACAGAGCTGTGTCCACAACCGGCTTCTCTCCCGTACATTTTAATTTACCCTTTTACTTTTCTTTTCATAGAATACTAGTATGTATTGAAAGATTACGATATCACGTCCTTGAGTGGGCCCCTCCCTCTCGAACCATTGATCCGTCGAGTCCCAGCAGCGTGCAATTTATTTATTAATGGTTTAGGTTAGCAGCCCATTTTCTTGTCTATTTATGTACAATTTAGTGGGAATTGCGATAAACGCAAACATTTACATAGCAGAGCATGCTTGCGTAACATTCCACCTGCAATCGCACCACGCAAGAGCTCCTCTCCCAGCGGAGGGGAGGTGGGCGCATTGCTTTGTCATAATTAGAAAGTGCAGTCCACACCTCTGCGCATAAACGCTCATCAGATCCATTTAACCCGTAATGGGTGTCGGGACATCAGGCCTTGGGGTCGGGCCTCCTGTTCCAGCTGCTGCTCCGGTCGGGCGTTGGCTTTTATTTGCCATTTACTTGCTGCACGCGTACCTCCACACGTTGCATCACGACCCAGGCTGGTCAGGTATTGGTATACAGCTATTCAGACTGGGCGTATGCGTGTGTGCCGACTGGACCTAGTCTCTATGAGCCGCACCGACTGTACCGAAATGGAGAGCGGGCGTGGACAGAACCAGAGCCTGTCATTGATAGCCAGACGAGTTGCCGTTGCCGGTTCGGAGCTGTCGATTTCTCCACCATGGCGTCTGTTTGCCTGCGGCTTTGAGTGCTGCCTGCCACGACTTGCTGTTCGGCGTTTCATGTGATTTTTGTACCGATTTGCGTTTAATTGAATTTTGCTCATGACACTGGTTAGGACTCGCACTTGACTTTCTACAAGCAGCACACCGCACCGCAACGCAGGGTGCCATCAATATGCTCCAATCGCATCTAATTGCGCTGAAAAATGAAGGCAGGCGGAAAACATGTTGAGCCTACTTGGGCCGATTACGAATGGAGCCCACGCCTCCGGAGTGGGCCAGACATAAATCAACACGCCCGTGGCTGGTCACTGAACCAAGTCGGGCGAGCACAGCGTACGAAAAAAGGCAAACGGAAACAGCTCTACTTGGGTGTCTGGTTTTGTGTGTCCTGCGTCTGGGTCTTGGTCTCGGTCGGGTCTCCATAACCATTAATGATTTGGCCCACAAGACTCAATACGTCCCGCGAGAATCTCCCTGAGTGCGGCAGACCCTCCTAGTCTGGGCCAAAACTAGGCTTAGATCCCTTTTTTTTTTTTAAATCAACAAAAATGGAAAACAGAAATAGAATTTTTCGAAGCGGAAACAACTTAATGACGCGCGGCGCTAATGGTTCACTTAAGCACCCACATAAGTTTTCCGCGCTCTTTTCCGAAAAACAAAAAAGAACACCAGCCAATGCACAGTGGTGCTAGACGCTTGAAAAACTGTCTAAGAAATAAGTTCCGAATATTTGGCAGTGAGTTAATTGATTCATAATAGATTTTTCTTTTCTCTTGTTTGGCTGCTGTGCTTGGCCCGGCGACTGTCCATGCCGAAATCGGAAGACTTCCGACCTCGTCCAACCTCATTGTCGCCTATATTGTAAGCCGGATATTCAAAGAGTATATTGGCATGTTTTATTGGTGCAAATATATGTAAGAGAAAGATAAAAGCGTTCCAACCGCATAAGGTATCCATGCTCGTATTTGTTTGTATTTTAGCAGCATCAATAATATTCATTCTAGCAGTGTCCGGCTGTATCTCGGCTTATATGTAAATAGATATTCACATATAATGTACATAAATAAGCCTTTTAATCATCTTGCTTACATCTGCAATGAAAATAAGGTAATACATATGCACTCATGTTAATTATATTTAAATTTGTTAACCATAATATAGTCTACTTTTTAAGTACGGGGTATCTAATAGTCCGAATATCGACTATTTTCGGCGTTGTACGCTATTTGGCGCCGCATCTACTCCCCCATGCAAGCCCGACTCTTCATACTGGAGCAGCCATCGTTTCGCAGTAATAATTTCTCGCTAATGGTGTCCTAAATTGTCAAGAAATATGGAACCATTTGAATGTTTTCCCCTTCGGTTGAGTACGAGTGTGTGGGTGTGTCCACGACCAAGCGCACAGTGGAAGGAGTTGTGCGTCAGTTTTCATATGGAATATAGTATATGTATGTATATATATGGTTGTATACAATGTATGTATGTATGCCTGGCTGTTGCTGAGTGCGGCTTTTAGTACGTTTGTATTCTCGACTTCCGGTTAGCCAGCGCCTTCTGCAATTTCTTTGTTCTTTCTTTCTGGTTCTCATTTTTATAAGCGAATGACAGCAGCAGGAAAAAAAAAAAAGGCCTAAAGGGCGGTCCGTTGTGTTTTTGACAATCTAAAGTGCGGTATAAAAGCAGTGTGGGTCAAGTGGGGGGGAGTGAATTGTTGAAGGGTACGCGAAGTCTTACGATACGCTGCCTTAAGTATAGAACGTGGAACAGGAGTACATTTAATGTGGACAAAAGTGAAACTCTTTTTTCTCTTTCCCTTAAAGCATTCCAAGCTATTTAAGTGCATTTTCCGCTTTTCACCTATTTTATATTCCGTGTTAAATGCAAGATTGTGCAACATCTTGTAGAAATGGGAAACATACCTAAGTACTTCATTTTGAGAGGTTCGTTTTATTTGTTGTTAGTAAGTCCCTTTAACTTTAGTGCACTTAAAGCACAATTTTCTTATTTTCAAAAATTTCAGATCGATGAAAATTGTTTTCCAGACTTTAAAGTGAGAAGCGTGGGGCATCAGCAATCACTAATTCATCTATCACATGTATGATTTGCACCTAATAAAATGAAGAAATGAAGATTGGTGTGTGCTGAGAATCAGAGATTCTGTCGAGCAGAGATGAAGCCCCAAAAGTTATTTTCTGACTGTGGGCATATGAATTAGAGCTGCAAAAACATCGAGCCACTATCGATAGTATCGATGGCGACTTCACTGATTCGACTATCGAAGTTTTTTTCCCCGATAGTTCGATAGTGGTAAAAATTTTTACCATATCTTGCTGCACAGTAAAAAGGTAAACATTGTGCAAACAAATAATTTATTTTATTTAATCTTTATTTGTTCTAAGAGTGTTGTTGGACTTTTGTGTGTTGGTGTTGATGGTGACGGGATGAACAAGTTTTTAGCAGGTTTAAGCAAAGAGGGTAAGTAATATACCATTATGAATGTCGTTTGATATTTATTGTCACATGTTTTGTGTAGACGCCGGAGCGACAACCAATTCGGACGACGAAAATTAACCAAAACGAAGGAAGACAGAAAAGTCGAGAGTATGGGAGTTTTTTAAAAAATTGACGGGTAAAAATGCTCAGTGCATTTTAGGTAGCAAAGTCTACAAAACTAGTGGCAATACTTGTCGGACCATTTAAAAAGGCTGCACCCAACTGCAAAAATAGAAAACATTAAACCACCGGTAGGTACAATCGAAACATACTTTCAGCAGAAATATGAAACTGGATCTGCACGCAAAAAAGTCTGGACAATGATCTAGTGTACTACACTTCTTCCGACTTGCGCCCATTGTCTGTAGTTGAAAATAAAGGTTTTGGGAAATTCACTACGAACCTCGATCCACGCTATGTGCTACCAAGTCGAACCACACTACAGAATGTGCACATGAAAAATGCATACAATTCAATGAAATGTAAGCTGCAGGATCTACTTAACGCTGTAGATCATTGTGCTGTAACTACGGACTGTTGGACTTCTCGTGCAAACGAGAGTTATATATCAGTAACATGCCATTTTGTCAGCTCTGATTTTGTTTTGCGCATTGTGCTTCATGCAACAAAAAAATTGGAGGACCAAACAAATCACTCTGCGTTAAACATAAGCGATACTTGAGCTCGACTCTTGAGGAGTGGAAAATGATTGATAAGGTGATAGCTATTCTTACAGATGGTGCCGCTAATATGCTTAGAGCTTGCAGAAACATTGACAAGACAAACCTTCCTTGCTTCGCACACTCTTTGAATTTGGTGGTTCAGGATTGTTTGGCTCAAGAAGAAATTAAACCAATTATGTCAAAATGCTAGCGAATCGATTTTTAAGAGTAGCTCCACAGCATACGCTAAGTTCAAGCAGGCCCAGGATGTGCCAAAACCATATATCCTAAAGCAGGAAGTGCCTAAACGCTGGAATAGTGGCTATCAAATGATTAACCGCATTTTAAAGACAAAGGATGCTATTGGAAAGATCATTCTGGCCACTCCTAAAGCGCCTCTGCCTTTGACAGCTGCGGACATTTTAATTCTGGAAGAACTTGTACATGTCCTATCTCAGTTTGATGATGCTACAGTGCAGACATCTTCTGATTGCGCTGTGACAATATCACATGTAATTCCATGCATAACCTTGATAACATAAAAAAAAACATAAAAATTGACATCGTATTGAAAACGTGTAATTTTTTTGGAGAAAAGATTAAAAAAAAGCTTCTCCCGTATGAGACCCGTGCTGTCACTAAAGTAGCAACCTTGCTTGATCCTCGCTTTAAAAAGGAAGGATTCCGCTCTCCTGTGAATTCAACAAAATTGATACAGGACGAGCTCACCGAGCTTTATAGTATAAAGTTTATACATCCGGAATAGATACGACCTTTCTTTGGCACCGTCAACACCATCACCGAAAAACAACAAACCGATTTTTGAGTTTCTGGAAAGAAATAAAACTGAAAAAGTACGAAGTAACCGAAACCCAACAAAAAATGCTACTCACTTTAAGAGAATATTTTGAAACAAGAAATATAGACTCAAGCTCAGATGCCTTGGAATTTTGGAAGATGGTATTATTAAAGTTTTGTATTTTTGGTAAATTATAATACTATTTTATTTTCAGCGTGATACTAGCGACAGAGCTTTTCAATTCTTGGCCAAAAAGTATCTGTGCATTCCAGCAACATCTACAGAAAGCGAACGTATGTTTAGCAAGGCTGGATATATTTTAAGTGAGAAACGCAGCTCTTTAGATGCAAAGCATGTCGACATGCTCACTTTTCTAAATAGAAACGAATGGATCACCAATATATAGTTTAAGCCAGATCTTGATTTTTTTTTAAGCAAAACATATGAAATATGTCTTTTTTTTTTTTTTTTTGTATTTTTATGTTTATGGATCTCATTAATTTTTATTTTTTTGGTACAAAATATATAATATAATATAATTTGTCTTTTACCATTTCTTAAATCCCGATATATCGTTAATATCGAGGTTTTTTTTTTAAGCATCGAAAAACATCGAGATACGCAAACATCGATATTTTTGCAACTGTAATATGAATGTACACTTGGGCGAAACAATTTGTAATGGGCCCAATTCTGATGCATATTTTTACAAGAAATTGTATATATATATTTATACCCGTACTCAAAAAAGAGTTAATGGGTATATTGTATTTATGGTAAAAGTGGATGTGGCAACGCAGAGAAGGAAACGTTTCCGACCCCATTAAGTATATATATTCTGGATCAGCATCAATAGCCGAGTCGATATAGCCATGCCCGTCTGTCCGTCCGTCCTTCCGTCTTGATGAGCGCCTAGATCTCAAAGACTACAAGAGCTAGAGCAACCAAATTTTGTTTCCAGACTCATGTAATATCACACTGCTACAAGTGTATTTCAAAATTTCACCCCGACCCCTTTCGCCCTCACAAAGGACGAAAATCTGTGGCAAGCACAACTTTAAAGATACGATCAAACTATCGCAGTATCGTAGAGAATACCAATATCTACCAGACTGCCGAATCTGAATCAGATCGGATCATAATTATAGCCAGAATGAAGAAATTAATTTTCAGTTGCTTCCCCCGCCTCACCAGCCAGAAACACGTTTCAGTCTCTTTCTCGCTCGCATACTCTGACGCGTTCAGTGCGCGAGACATAGAAACTAAATGGTACATGTGTAATCTACATGTTAGATGTATAATATACATTGTAGATGTAAATAACAGATGTAGCAAAAATATGTAATACGTAAAACTTTTTTTTTTAATTCTAAAATTCTAAAAAATCATAAGCTCAAAAATGTATATACTGACTGAGTACGGGTACAAACGTTCCTTCTCGTTTCTTTCTAAGCCCAGTACTAAGTGCATCCACGCCTACTTTTATTTATATGGAACATATGTATATATGGCAACAAAGTTCAACTTTGACTATTTATTGTAAAGCTTTGAGACATTGTAGCACAATTTAATCGTGCAGACAAAATTTTGAAAAGTGTTTTATTCAAATGAAATTTATTTCATGAAGAAATATTATTTTGTTCAAAAGTTATTAATTTAGCAAGCAGAAATGGACGATGTCTCCACCGTGCGTCGTTAGCTCTATTCTAGTGAGACACCCAATCTGTTTGCGCGATATTCCAAATATAGACCATAAAGTTTTACTATTCCTAACAACTTCTAACATGATGTCAAGACTCCCTATCTGACTGTCTCATCCTGCAGCCTCCCATGCAATCGACGCACCCCTCCCGCTAACTCAAATAATTCACAACCTCCTTTAACGGGTGTATTGTAAACTGACAGCCAAAGAATCTCTTGAATACAGATTCGAATTCCGTACAACAGAAGATTCTGTTAATTTTTCCATAATGATCATGAGAACAAACAGAATATCATTTCAAAGTGTTCATATTCTTTTCTACATCCACCGTCACAATTGCATCCAAAAAAATTACAAGTTCCATAGCCGCAATAATGCCCCCAGGCATGTGTTCCGTCGAGGCACATCCGTTCATATGTGGGGCAGCAAAGTGAATTCAAATTTCTAAGGAAAAATAGGGTCAATATTTCGTATGCCATATATGTACATAGTTTGAAATACGTGAAGGATTGTCTGGTTCACGCTCGGAGTTGTACCTCACTGTTTTTTGAGTACGGGTATAAAAACCAAAAACGGAATATTTCAATTTAAAAAATAGAAATTAATTAGTATCGTTTTATGGCTGTACGTGCACCCGTATATTATTGGGCCGTTTTCCTGTATATCCTTGCATACGCCATTTCAAGCCGGATATTCGAAACCCAGAGATGAGGACCTTTTGAACCATTTAAAATTTTAAAATATGTACCTACTCGCATATACTAATTAATCTCAACCTTGGAACCAATATACATACATAGATAGCCTGGTCCACCGCTCAGAAAATAAGGTTCATAACTATAAGAAGTTTTCGTATCTATGTGAAACTTTTCAAGGATTATTTGGGTTTCTGTCCACATAGTATTTAAATTTGAGCCGCCATAAATGATAGCTCCCATAGAAAGGCAAACCGAAGCATATCATCGCGCCACAAAGTAAAAATATATTTTCTGAAGATAATCCAACATACAGAAAGAAATTACTTTTAATATCATTTTACATTGTACAGCAGAACTGGATCAATGTTGGATATTTATGTCACATAGATGCCATGGAAACGAACAATATATAAGAAGTGCGGGGCTGTTTTCCGGTGTATCTAAAATTTTTATGACGCCCCATAAATTTCCAAAATCTTGTGGCATCCACAGTTTTAAAGATACATCCAGATGAAAGAAGATATGCTTCCCAGCATAGCTGATTTCTAAATCCCTCTTAACCTCCATTTGATTTTGGTTGTATTTAAATGTGAAGTTAATGCTTATTTGGCTTGCGGCATCTGGAGTCTGTTTCCTGCTGCAGCATCTTTGCATCCTGGGGCATTCCCTTGGCAACACATCGTGGTATTTGCACACTCTTGTCACGTTGAAGCATTGCACGACACCCACACACGCCGTCAACTGCGCTTCATTTTGATTTGACACGTTGTCCTGCCCGTATTCACCGGGCCCTTGTCACTCGTCGTGCTTGCAGTTAACACAATTTCCGTAAGAGCAGGCGCGCTTATATGTCCACATGCGATCTACTATTTTCCATTCGCCTGCTGTGCGGGCCACATCTGCCACATGTTGAGCGCCCGGCTATTTGGAACCGCAGGAATTTAGTGAATGGCAATGGATTACACCATGAGCTGTGAAAATTGCCAAAGTGGTCAATATACAATTATTTCCATTGGTGGCTAATCGCTTTGAGCTATTCCCGAGCTGGGGGTACGTTGGCTGCATCAGGCAAAGCGAGTAGAAAAGGGCATTTAAAGGCCGCAGCAGGTCCAGGGCCCCTGCACAACTCCAATGCAGTGCCAGTGAGAATGGAATTTATGCCCAGCATGCCACACATTAGCGCATTGTCACCGCACTCGGCACACTCTCAATAAATAACGCCAGCACACCCGGAAAGGAGGAGGATACTCCATTTGGAGAATATGTACAAATGCGCTTGGCGCATTAGTAGGAAGTAGCAGCAAGGGGGCAAAAAAATCCGCCATAAATAAGGGATAACAATTTGTTAGCCGCGCAACAAGTGCCAACTAAATCCCCAATGCGAGTAGATTTCGGTTCCACAGACCACACACATGTAAACTCTCAGAACTTAAGGCGTTACAGATAAAACTTTCCTTGAATTATGAGTGCCTTGGCAGAACAAACTTAAGACAGGCTCTCTTGAGTGTGGTCTCTTTAAGAACACGGAAAAAAGTGAACGAGTTACCTTTTTTTCCCTGCTCATTTAATTTTTGAGTTTAGGAAGGTGGGGTGAACAAGCGAATCCATTTGATTTCGGGCCTCTTTTTACAAAAAAACAAAAGAAAAGGCTGCTTGGACCCTTGCTTTTATGTAAGTACTTTATCCGAATTTCTCTGGCCACAGGAGGACAGCAAAAAATTAAGCCTTCAACGCAAAGTGTCCCTTTTTATTTAATACCATTAATGCAATTTTACGCACGCGTTGGTTTTTGTGTGCTTGCTCGGGGTGCACTCGATTGATGCCAGAGGTTGTAACAGAATGGACGGAAATTACTTGTTGCCTCGGGAAGAATATTCACTCTTCGGCTCGCACTAACGCACCACAAAAGGGAAATCAAACATAACGTGGGCATTCTTACCCCTGCCAAAATATATTCTTTTAGGCTTCATCGCTGCCTCGGCAGCAGCTTCTTCGCCATAGTCGGCACTTCAATGGCTTCCAACGGCTGCCGTTTCCATTCCCTTTTAGTGCGGCTCTAATGAGCGGCCACCGAATCTATTCTAATGGCCTCCGGACAAAGAAAATGCGATCTAAGCAGAAAACAATGGGAGGACAATGAGGGAGCAGTGCACTATGGGGAAAATTCCTATTTTTCGGGTATTTAGTCATTTTCTCAAAGTATT